ATTTTCCGGCCTTTACTACATATTGTGAACAGAACCATACCAGAGGCGCTGACGGCTGACAACTTGTGAGAAAAACGAATCTTAGTTTTCATTTTTGAACAAATTGTTACAGTCAATTAATTATATGCACAGATGAAGCTAATAAATGGCGATAAGTTCTTCAAATTTGCCTGGCGACACATACGGATATAGAACAGTGATTAATGATAAGTCAGGACTGTACCGGGAGCTGGCATCCTGCTGAAGGAAGTGAGCGCCAGTCCGCGATTGCAGTTCCGTCTAGCTTTAAATACTGGCAAAATTTACGCTAGCTATGCATGTTCACATCAATGTTTTGTTACGAATATAGAGAAGCTGCACCGCGAAATGCGGAAGGCACACTGATTGATGATAACAACAAAACGAGTAGTATAACTAATGGTGAAAATGACGAAAATTGTATTTTATCTTCATTGATAAAATATTCTATATTTAGCTCCCTTTACGAACATAAGTTGCTTTTGATTACTTATTAATTACAAATCACGTAAATATATGCACATATATTAGGTGGCAGTCAAAATGGGGCTACATTAATCAAATACAAGAACCAGTATCTAATGATCGTTATCATCTATAAATGTCCGCGCACACACACACACACACACACACGTTCACCTACATAGACATTTTTGAGAGTCTAAAAATCCTGTTTAAGCCAAATTATAGCTTTGACCTTTTTCCGGTGTAAAAAAAAAGGTGGAATGGGGTTGTGGTAGCGTGCAGCATTCTATTTTGGATGGTCTCGCTTATGCAGGAAGATAATTCCCTACAAGTGATTGTTGTCGGATATCTCCTTTTTAATGTAGTTAAAAATGTCATTCCATCTATCAATGTGTACCTGAGCAGGAACATGTCCGCCGGGGAAATTTGGCACGAGATGAGTTATCGTACATACAGGTAGACGTCCAACAATCGTCCAATCTGAATTATTGTGGTAACTATGGTACGGTACTAGTTGTATTGACTTTCACTGCGCAACTCCGACGAAAGCAGCGAAAACGCTGACTTGGGTAATGACCGTTTGGATACTTCGTTTTTCAAACGTTCGTACGCGTAAGTTTACGTACAGATGGCGAATGCTTATTTATACATCATTTTGCCTATCGCCGCATATAACATTGGTATAGAACCACATGGCAGGCATTTATACAAGCGATGTGGCTTCGTTGCTGAAATTATAGCTAAAACTCGCGACTCTGCCGTGTCGTTGAAGCTATTGCTGTCTCGATTGCTGTAGGCAAAGCGCAGCTCCTTCGCCCGAGAGGTGTTAATGCTGGTCTTCAGCGCCAGTCGGTTGATGAAGCGGGTCCTCTCTTTACACTTCAGCATGCTTCTTTATGGCAGTCACATGCGTTGGTCCTGTTGATTGCAGTTGTTAGTGTTTGGTGGTTGTAACGATGACGGCGGAAGACGCCCCCTTTCGCAAGGAACAAATATCGTTTCCGGCCGACAAAGGTGATTTACACAGTAATAGAAAGAATTCGCGTGAATTTATTACGAAAAAAAAGACGCCCTACCTGGCTCTCAACGGCACTTCGGACGTTGGAAATGGGCAACGAAAGGAAAATATTGAAACGAAAATAGAATCCAACGAAGATCTTTTAAGTAGAAAATTGAACTCACTTAACAGACGAGTCACTGTGTAACTATCTCGGTAAAAGATTGCAAATTACGCTATTCTTTTAGGGAGAGGAAATATGAATTTTCTAGCGATAGGAACGGCGCTGATATCTGACTGAACTGGCCCACGCATGGATATGGTATGGCACTGTTATCAGCTAGAGGCGGTTCGCACTCACAGGTCGCATCACAAATCGAGACCGCGATCAACGTTGGGCAGGATTCAGGCCACGGAGTGAAGGGCCACTGGGTAGCCTTATTACATATCATAAACGACTATAAAGAAAACAGAATTAACTAAAATCCACACCGACACATATTCCATGTTTTCATTCCGATAGCGGCTAACCCTCAGCCATTCCGTCAGGCCTGTGGGCAATGGATTAAGTACTGCATAAGGTTAGTAACGCTACAGGCTAGCACGTGAAACCAAGTTAGTGCAATAATCCTAAGTTCTGAAACTGAACGTGTTACGATAACTGCAGTTAGCATTCAATCAAAGTCTATATAGTTGCACCCGATAGTTGTGAATGTATTCTGCTCAAGAGGTGATGATATCTATAAAACGTTTATCCAAGCAGAGGCTGTAAGAAGGTAATAAAACGAAGTTGAAAACGCGCGCGATGCAACAAAGCGACGTTGAGTCTCCCCTCATTTGCGCTAAAGACGGCGTCGATTCAAGGCAAGAAGGCTCTTTGCACGTATGGCAATAGCCGTTTGTTATGAATATGTATCTTGCTTCATATTATACGAGATGTTTATTAAAGGGTGTTTGAAATATGCTATTGTAGCCTCCCTGCTGTTCAAGATAAGCACATGTCATCGTTCGACGCTTTTTTACATTGGAAGTGGCTTGTTTTTATTTGGTGTAGCGAACAATTATATGTGAAATGCGCCAATTCAAAAGAAACACGTGTATGTTCTTTTTGTGCAAGAATAGCTACATGGGCATGGCATCAGTGATTATGGTAATCAAATATTCTGCACCGTATTAGTTAGGATATGATGCTTACGGTCAAAATTCTCTCGTCAGTGATTCGTTGATCACCTCTCGGTAGTCATTCTACTGGCAAGCAAATGGGAAAAGTGTGGCATCTGTTAATAAATAAGCTAATAAAAGTTTACGTAGAGCGAAATCACCTTTCATCTCGACCAACAAATTCAAAAAATCATTACTTACCGAAACATGTTTCTTCTTAAATGAAGCAACACTATAAGCCTCAATACGTTTCCGAAAGAGTTCACTTTATAAGCTGTGTGTTTCTCGTATCACTGATTGTCCTTGCGTACTTCGAAGCGGTCTTCGACGAACGCTCACCTTTGCACTTCGGCGAATCTATCGACGATTAGCTACACTAACGTTAGAAATGACACCGCTGTCAGGCTAGCATCGAAAGAACATCGGCTCCGAACCGCGTCACTTACTTTAAGCGAATGAAGCGTGTTCCCGTGGACGACAGAACCCTGCAATTTGAACATGCGCCAGACTACGGATCGAACGCGTAAAGGGAAAGAGAGCCGGCATCGTGTGGCTACCCCATACGAGTACTTACCAGGTATATGGATTTCCATTGCTGTGAAGTTTTCGAAAAGCAATGCAAGAGAAACCACAGATGCCTGTAACGGAAGCATGCTATTTTATTTGTTATAGGAATGTGAATCACGATCTACTTTAAAACTAACGCATCAACCAATAAACCAACAAAATGGCTGAACGTATTTTTAACGTATACTGTTATAATTCATTCTGGCTCCAACACTTCTTGCTCAACTTGTCCCGGCAGAATTCGGCTCTGCCGGCAATTAAATCAAACGTATGACTTTAGGGTATTAACTTAAGATCGTTTCGATGACCTTGCACCTAACATATGCGCGTGCAATGGTGGAAATAGTCAAGGTTAGGTAAGGTAATCTTGGGCACTTAGTGCGTAAGGCTACACCAAACGTGATTTTCTTATATTATTATTTGTTGTCTTAAAAAGTAGAGATAAAAGGCATTTCCTTAAAAATGGCAGGAATTGGTTTTACAGAAGCTGAACGTATTTATCATAAACTTTTTTTTTAACTTATTGATTTCCGTTTTCGTTTTTATATGGATGCTATGCATATGGATGGGCAAGACGGTGATGTACTACCGAAGGAAAAGGGATACCTATTTCAACAAGCAGTTGCTTCTAAAAATTGCGATCGCTGGAAAGCTACAACGAGTAATGATCTAGCATAAAATATTAGGTGATATAAAATCCGTGAATACTCATCCCTCGAATGAGGATTCGAGTACAAATTGTTCTAACCTAGTTACAGGGGGCAGGAAGGTGCGAGTGAAAAATTAAAAGCGGAAATTTCAATAAAGCAAATATAGTCTCAAATTCAAAGTTAAGAATATCGTTGAACACGATAAAAGCAGTAGGGCAGAGTGGTAAACTTTAGCCTCCTATAAACTCCTCATGTAGGAAAGAACGTTACAACTTGCTTTTGCACAAAAAGACATGCCGCAGAGCCAAAACGATGTAAGACTGTTTAACATACTAAACTTAATATTAACACAATTTACGTACGCAAAAAGATAGTGAATTTTTTAAGACCCACGACGCTTACTTACATAACTGGATTGATGTAGCTCAGATTTTGTGTACAATTGTTAAAAAATATCACATAGAACCGAGTATGGGTCAAAAGTTTTGTTCTTCTCTATCGTTTGTAATGATGAGCGGTCTTTGCCCAAAACTCTTGGATTCGGTCCTAGATGGTCTCGGGTTCTGTCCAGACGTATTTAGACATATAATAATAAAAAGCTATATATCAATATGGTATACATTATAGCTATATATGGAGTATATACAACATCATCATATGGCAATTATATCATATATGTATAGTATTTAATGCAGGATTTAAAGTCCTATGCTGCATTATATAAATTTTGAGAAAACTGAATATTCTATTTGTGGTATGAAGCTTACGTGGAAAAACCTATCAGTTTCCCGATGAAATAAAGAAAAAGATTTAAAGGTATTCATTTTTTATTCTACGTCATCTAAGGTAACGATGCGTAAGCTTATCGGGGCTTTCACTAATTTGTCATAATGATGTTGCAAAAGATTACTTTCACATATGCTGCAAATCGCATAAGCAATGAAACGCACATAGAACAGCGGTTGGTGATCGTTTACATGCCCTTAGGGTCTCCTCTAGCGGACTCTGAATGGTAGCTCAGATGGTTTCTCGCTATGAAAAGAACCCTTGTATTGGATGGGTTAAAGCTTCATTATATAGGGTCTACCTTTATTACCATCCACTTGTGCAGCTGCACGAAAAGAGTACAATTTTATCTGAAACCAAAAACGAATTCCAAAGTTAATCGGTTGGTTCGATGAGCGCAATCAGACGCAATGGACTCTTTTTTAGTCCTCAATCGTCACTTCAGCCGTACTTCCCAAGGCAGTTGTAATGAAAAAGTAATGTCAAATATACAGTTCTTCAGCTCGATGAGCTGATCACACAGAATACTGTTTCCAATGAATCTAACAATGAAAAAATAGAGGTCGCCTTGAGAGGCAAATCCTCTTAAGTCCCAATCATAGCTGCATATAACCAAAGGTATAGGTTACGTAGTTTATTAGCTACCGAATCGATCTTACGACCTGATAACATGGATACCAACCTCATATATATATATATATATATAAATATGGATTGTGGCTGGCCATAGTCGGCAATAATCATCGTCGTTCCTGGAGGTAAAAGCTATCCTAGAGTTAAAAACTAAGCAGTGGGCTAAAAAAAACTAAAAAGAGGTTCTTTACTGTTCTATATAAGGAAGACTAGGTGCGTGAGGTTACCTACCTAGTTATGCGTAGTACTTTAGCCAACAGTACAGAAGGAGGAAAGAACATTTGTAAAATGAGGTAATCTCGGAAATACAGCAGATCTTGTTTATGACTCTAACAAAACGTAATTTGAAGCTTTAAATACAGCGTATTATTAGTCGATAATCTCTGCCAATGATATCCATTATACGATAGAAGTGATCAAAGGGAAGAACTTCAGCGCCGTTGCTTATGACAGGCAGACGCGCACGATCGATTTGTTCTGTGCATATTTTCGTTCGTAAAAATATTAGCTTTCGTGACACGTGCCTATAATAAGACGTGACATCTGACAATATGGAGCACATTACGCAGAAACGAGTATACTTTGACCGATGCAGCGACGTATTGACAATCAGACACGTTCGTTTTGATCAGTTTGAGAGGAAGGGTGCCACAGTAACAGCATCATAACGGCTTCCACATTCAAGTTATAGGCAGACAATTATTAGATCCTAAAGATCCACAAGGGAAAAACCCTTGGGTTGATCGTCGACTCTCGACTTGGAAAAAACCAATAACTTGGATTCAAAACAAAGTTAGAACGGCTTATTCGACCTCGGTTCTCGCTCCGGCTTTGATGCAAAGATAGATGTCGAAGGCTTCTAGAAGTACTGTAAGATACTGCAGTGTGGCACTTGGGAGATGGATGGAAATGGTCCACACTGAAACGCTACAAATCGGTTTTAAAGAAAACTGTAAATTTTAGTAGCATATTCAATAATAATAAAATAGTTACACAGAAGAGCAGGATTCAGTTCTATTTCCCGTGATAAATCTCAAACTGAAGCTTCGTGTGACGGGATTAATGGCAAGAAGATTTATATTTCCACTGTTCGTCGTGGTATAAGTAGTCAAATATATCCCAATGAGCTACTAGGGAGCATAATGTAGGGTAGATACTTAGTGTAACCCCTTCTCTCAAGTAAATGCTTAAACAAAGAGCTACACTACTTTCTATATAGACTCCCTGATAAATATATAAGAGTTATTTATGTTTTAATATACAATTCCTTTATTAACATAAGTTTATAAATTATTGCAAAGCGATCTTGTAATTTTGAACATTAAAATTTATTGATCTTTTTAAGGGCCGTTGAAAGTAGCACAAAAATGTTTATAGCAAAAAATTTGTTTTGCAAATACGTACTTAGCACAGTTGACGCATTTGGGGTTGCAGTAAAATTTGAAAATGATAAGTCATGTTTAATTCTACCGAAGGCAAACGTGGTACATCATTTTGAGGGCTCTTTTGTAATATCCAGATAGATATCTCTCGCAGAAACTGAACGCTTGGAGATGATCTCCACTATTCCTTCGGAATAAATGTGACTAACTTACAAATGTTTATTATTATTTTTATCATAACTATCATTATTGTTACTACTACCACTACTAATACAAACAGCATGCAGTGGAAAACAAAGAGAGTAATTTGTATTATGAACATTAATATTTATAAATATTTTTAATATTTAGCGAAGTTGCAGGTAAAGCATTTCTGTTTCTCTATTGGGAACTTGGGAATTCCTCAAGAGCATTTATGAAAATTGAGATAATATTATATTGAGACTGCGACCCACAAGGTAGACTTCTCTGTCAGTGCTCACCAGCCATACATCTAATACTGATGGCAATCATAGCTACAAATTTACGAACTACATAAAAAATTCAACAGCTTCGGCGTTTAAAATAAAAATACGCTACATCGAATCGCTACTAACTAATGGAGCATGCTAAATACCAAAGGCTTTTCACTACATCACGAGCAAGACAATACATTGTGAATGTCCAAGTCTTCTATCAATGGGCCCCACTAAATTAAGTCTAACCAGTAAAAAGCTCAGCGTAGTTCATCACATTGAATTCGTACTACTTACAGCTTTTTCACCTCATAAAAAGTGACAAGTTCTGCCAGATCGCGTTGACTGCTCTATGGGGTGCCTAAGCTCTCTCCTCTCAGGTTACTTCACAAGAACAAAACAATATTTTGTGAGCTCCATGAAGCCCAGTCGTTGCGAGTTTAGTAGCGATCGACCCATGTCAATATAGGAGTCGCTACCATTTTTGCTTTTATTGGCAGATAAAGTTGAATTACAACCTTAGTTATCATTCAAGCGAAAAGTTGAGAAAATTTCACTGGACGAAATTCATCTGCATCTTTATCAAGTTTTTCAACCCGGAACGTAATTTTGTCCTCCTCAGGAGATTTCGCTTTATCCTCAACTACCATTCGTTTAACTATTCCATCGGCTCGCTCGGCTAAGTCAGCTGCGTCAGCCACGATGCTTGATGTTTGATCCTTATCTCTTTGTATCGTCGCAAACTTCTCAACAAATGTCCTTGACATTTCATCTATTCGCCCTTTCCAAACGTCCTCAAATATTTGCTGTACGAATGGATCATATTTGAGTTCAAGCGATGCAATGCCCGAATCGCCTATCACCTTAGCAATCTCCTTCAAGTGCTCGGTTTTTGGCTTTGTGGTCGCTATAGGATCATACCTATATATAATGTCCATGAAAAAATAAATCATTTTAGACTCCTTTAAATACATTCTTTACTCATATAAAGTGGATTTGTTCGGATGGTTACTCAGACCTTGCTGTCGATGTCAACATATATGATACATACCTTGGGAGGTAATTCATGTTGTCCTGATAGATGAGATCGAAAAATACAAAGCAGTGTTTTTGTAAATGAGGAACAAGGACGCCGGGTTTTGATGCAAATCTCGTAGCGTAAGCGTAATCCACTAATAATGAGTGTCCCCGGTAAGCACATAAATGAAGAAGCGTATCGAACAAAGCTACTCTGCCATCACTCGCCGATGAAAATACGTGGTAACCTCGACCGCCACTCAGATGCAGCTGTGGACAGAAACAATCGTACCCATCAACTGTACGTGACATGATAAATATAACCCTCCCCTCCCCAAAATACATACTTTCTCCATGTAGATAACTATGTATTTTGTTTATCCACAACTACTTTTATCTTTTGTGAAGTAACTGAGTTCTTAATAAGCAGGAACATAAAAGCCTCATGCATATTATTATTATAATTCATCTGAAACATGCACAAAATTAAAGCGTGCATGCGTTAAAGACGTATAATCTCATAGAATATGCATTCTCTTAACATTAGAAATTGCCTTTGAATTGTTAATGGACCAAATGAGAATTTTCTAGTTGCGAATTATGTTTTTAGCGCTTAGGTCGCTTCAGAGCGATCCAAGAAGCATACCAGAAATTGGTGAGATGGATACCATCCTTTTACGACGTAACCTTTAAATGATTCAGAAGTTTTAATATACTCCTTGAGAGGCTTGCTGGACGGAACCGCCGTTGTTCCAAACCTGCAAGGTAAAAATTGTAAACCTCTCCTTATTAGAACTAAATTATAAGTGAAGGTTTTGCATTTAACTAGCAAAACGTATTTGAGATAAAAGTACGGGTTACGCTGCGACCGTTCGAATTTCTATCGAAGAAAAATAAGCGTAAAACTAATAGCTGTAGGAAGCAGCTGCTAAAGTTGTACCATCCTCCCATATATTTATTACCGAGAATTTCCAAGTGCTGGGCTCATGACGTAGGAAAGGTTGGGGGCCGTATAAGTTAAAATTTGCTTAATGCTTCTGTTGAAAACAACCGGTACCACAGAAGAAAAACAGTGACACCTGTTAAATAAAAACTTTTTTTACGAGGCGCGGAAAGTACAATTAATTACTTTTTGAGACAATATCAGTTCAGTACACTTATGTTGCTGGCCGAAATAGCTCAAATGATTTCGATCAGGTCTGTCATTCAACAAAACTAAAGGAAGAACGTATTTCTTTGAAGAAATGGCGGTGATTTTTGCCAAAGAAGTCGATGCATTATCATCATTTACTGCCGAGTTTGGCAAATCAAAAATCATGACTTGTCTACCATATGTCGACGTAAAGTTCTGCTATGCTGTCCAAAGCCGAAAAAAGTTAAATGGACTAAGTACTGGCACATCGATGAGTTGCATTCCGTGCGAGAACATAGGAAGAACAACATACAGGTTTTCTGAAGTCAACTTAATTATACTAAAACCTGTATAACAATCGTGGTTATGGTTGATTGCAGTATAAATGAATGTTAATCCTGAATTTTCGTCTATGTTCATATTATCCGTACTGTAGTGCACGTGGCAACAATATTGTTTTGTGCCAACAATGTACTGCGCCTACAGAATCGTCAAAATGCCTTTCGAAAACAGGTTCATGTGACACGTTGACGGCAACAACGGCAGGACAATACAACAAGTGCGAAGCTATGATACCTCAGCTCAACTTAACATATATACTATATACATACATTTTTGTAAAGCTGAGCTGTACTTGAAGCTCACTTTGTTCCTTTAATTTGCCTGTAAAATTAATATCCTTGGCGCGTTATCACGTCAGCTAATCTAGTAGCCTGTTTTCACCTCACTTTTGCCCATACCGTCTTCCTGGGTGATCACGTAATATAACTCGAATGTAACGACGTTACATTAGAACGTAACTTACCCTCTGTTAGCCTTTCAAAATAAGAGGTTGATTACTTTGCTTCTTTATTGTTCAATGTTTAAAAATACCTAGCCGTTCCATATTACCCCATCTTTTGAAATTCGGTAAAATCTGTTAAAACAAACTGCTATTAATTTTTGTATTGGCATGCATTTAAAGCATTACCAAAGTTTACTTGTATTCAACACGAAAGCTTTAGGCATTAGAGAATTATGCCAAAAACGCATGGTAACAGCAATCAATTGTACGTTCCACTTGTTGTTTATAATATGCAGAAGTTCATACCCTGCTTAGGAGAAGTACTTTCATCGATCCCTTTATTTTATACAATGCAAGCAATAACACAATATCTGAAATTATCACTTTTTCTGATTTCGATCCTGTTTTTGATATTTTGAAAACAAATTATATTAAAAATACAAAGAATAGTAGACAATGGAAATGTAAAGGCGCAGCTAATTACCCCTTTCATTACGAGAATACAAATTAGCTTTCTTTATCCATCCAAATTATGCTGCACTTTGGTATCCTTTGGGGCATATACAAATGGAAACTATACCCTGCAAGAGATTAACTAACGGTTGAAATAAACTGTATATTTAAGAATTGCTAAAACCATCGTGTAGTGCTGTTTTCGATTGTAAGCATCTGATGTTAGGCCGCGTGCAACCGATCCTAGATGGCCTTTTGTTTGGGCTCTTCGGAATTTGTTCTGGAAAATCTGATTATACTGCGATCAATACAGAAAAGCTATTGGCATACCATAAGTCGTATGTGCGTTAATGACAGTAGAAAATTCGCTCTCTCACAAAACAATCATAAAATACATATTTTCGATTTCACTTTAAAAAGTGTCATTTGCGTCAATTACGATACACTGGAATTATATACAATGTAAAAGAGTTGCACAATTCAAATAGGGATCTATCAAGTTACTGCAGTTAATCGATTACACCTATCCACCCTTACGGAGGCACTGCTCCATTTTACGGATTACCCTCTTTCCGTACTGTCATGCGTGGTTGAATTGGTCGAAATTGGAGTCGTTCGGACATCTGATTTATTCTTGACGTTATCTTTCTTTAGAAGTTTGGTCTCATCGCGTCGTTTGAGAGTCCCAGAGAATTTCGGGTGTTTCCTCTCATGTCGATTGAAATCGCCGATGCGACGGAGCGCTCTCTTGCAAAAACGGAAATAACGATTTTTGATTTTTAGATGAAACATTTCATGAACGCGTGGATACGCAGGTCCGGGCAATATTCTCCCGTGGGGTCGTCTGCGGTCACCATCTATCGTAAACGTTGCACTGCACTCGTCACATTTATGCGGGCGTTCACCGGTGTGTCCCTGTTCGTGCACGATTAAATTACCACTTCCGATAAACGATGCATCACAATAACGACACTTGTGAATCCGTTCGCCAGTATGGGTTCTCACATGTTTGATATAATCTGAACGCTGAACGAATGTTCTGCCACACTCCTGACAAGCTTACGGTCGAATGCCCTCGTGAAGACGTTTACGTCAAATTCGTTAGTCAATCAAAAAAATTAGAGAACGCATTATCGCGGCAATGACACTTGTACGGTCGAATACCACAGTGGATGTTCTCAAGTGTTTCTTAAATATCATTAGGCAAAAACTGCATTTAAAATATTGTTCAGCATCGCGCTCAGCGTTTACTTCATTTGAGGAAATGGCTCGCGACTATATTGATTACCTAGTTGAAACCTCAGCTATGATTTTCTCTTGACTAGAAGCAAACGCTCTAAGCCTTTCTTCTTCTACTTTGACATCAACGAGATTTTCAATCGCTACAGCACATATTTTCCTTTTCATACTACTAAGCATATCTTCTCGGAACTTACCGGACTCTACTGCCAATTCAGTCGTTAACCTTTGAACTTCATTGTTCCCTTTACTAACTTGTAGGATAATCTCTGCAGTTAGAGCCTCTAGTCCAGGATGAACATTGTTCACCAGTTTATCTAGTCGCACTTCATCTCAGGTCTGAGGTCTCCGGAGGCAAAAAATTTTGATATTAAACATTATGACACGGATTTCGTTTAGGTTATATACATATATACCATGGTAGATCAAAGAGTTATTTTTTTCTCCAATACCTGCACCTTTAGAGGGGTTGCAACAAACTTTTATAACGCACTATCTGGAAATACACATTTAGAATCAGTGTTATAGACATAGGGTCAACATAGACTATGAGAGCACGTTACGATCCGAAAATAGGTACAGAAAGGCACATTACCTTTGTTGTGCCAAAGAAGTCAAAAGACGGTAGACTCAATAAACATGCCGCTTTTTCGATTCTAAATGTTTATTCACACAATGTGCATTTCATATTTTGGACGGCAAGCATTCATTGCGTTACATTTTTTTATATATGACGATGGCCCAACGTATCGCGTGCTAGTAACCTCTTCCTTATGAACCGTTGACTGCCATCGCCATATTCGTTGTGATGTGCACAACATACACACATGCACCTGATTTAAAGGTTCATATCGGAGCGATCATTCTTTTACTCAAGTGTTTGCAAGCAATCCCACAGTGTATAAGGGAAGCTATTTGTTGATATCGTTTCACCAATCTGTTCTCCATTGTTACTATTGTATAAGAAATAAAGTGCTACTTGAGTTATTGCTCTCGACAACATAAGTTAGGTAATCAACCTTTATGATAGTTACAGAATAGGTACAGTTTTTGCTAACCATAAACAATAGGATATTGCGTTGAAGTGGTTAACAAGATCGACAGCCGTGTCGGACGATTCTCTAATATGGGGTACCTTACTCTCTCTAATATGGGGAAAAACTCTGTATATATAATTATACTTCGTAGTTTCATAGATTTGTAAATTTTCTAAAGCTTCTTCAAAAATCTACCATACGTTACGATATGGAGACACCTATATGTAGCGAAAAATTAGAAAAGAAGAAATCTAACTAACAAGATATATTCCGGTTTGCAATCTCTCTATGCTTATAACTTAATACCGTAGACGAATATCGTAGGCAATATGGTAAATAACGAAATACAGACTTAAAGAGGAACAATCCATCGGTACGCCATATTATATGTCCTCATATCAATATCATAATTTACTTTGAGCATGATGCTACTATATGATATTTAAAGTTAAGAAAACACATTATTATCTCTTATTAGCTTGACGGTTTCATTCAAAGATTAGATTTGAATAAAATGCATAAAATTCGCGATAGTCTGTACGATGCAGTTATATGCCTGAACACTAAACTCCCAACAGCCAAACCAACTGCCACATCCTCAATCCATCCAGCTAATAATCCTACTAACCCAACTGAAACTCTATATATATATATATATATATATATATATATATATATATATACATATATATATAGGGGCCAACGTTTTTACTTAGAGTGGTAAAGAACCTCATGTTGAAGGAAAGTTTATGAAAAAATAGTCTGTATTTGCCTGTGTAGGGTTGATGCGCAAAAAACGAAATAGAGTCATTTAGCGTGCTCACCAAAGGATGTCGCTGAAGCCAATTGTGACTCCTATAATCGTACGCACATCACTTCATGTTGCGTTTACAACGCTTGAGCCAATAACTCTATTCCTTTATACACTATCTATAGTACTACTGTAAATAAGTTTGTTGAAAAACAATTTGGTTCTTGGAGATTAAGCAATAGGTTGCTCTATGATGATTTATATCTGGTTACGTCCTTTGTTTTTCCTTCCTAGAATACTGCAATAATATTGGCTGACTACATTCTGATATGATATTCTGTAGTCAGTAAGTTAAAGAGTAGCCAAGACTATGGGTATTTATTTTAGTAAGAAGACTAAGATATGCAAAGACATAATACTTTGTCATCACAGAAAAATCGCCTATCTGCAATGTCGAAATGAAATTTTCCCTCTAACCAATTGTATTGCCATTTCTATATGTGTGAATTAAAAGCATATGCAGCGATTATATGAACCTGGAGAGAAAGCCTTTTTATGTCCATTTATTGCCTTCGCGGATGATTAGTGCTCTCTTGGAAAAATGTTTGTTCGCTCACCTGTAAGCCATAACGGTCCTCTCGGGATGGACTGTGACGACGTTGCCATCAGGATCTTTCTCATAAAAACCTTTGTCTGTAAGCTTCACTAGACTTTTACGCGGTTTTATTGTGCTTACTGCAGCTGTAAATCCTTCGCCCTCCGCTGCATCTTGATCGCTCCCAACTACAACCATCAAGAGAATAAATAACCCTCTTTCTTTGTACAAATCATAAGAGAGTTAACGCCTACTTAACGGGTTCATGACTAACCAAGCTCTGACAACATATGTAGCTCTCTTAGCATTTATAATTAGATACGTAAATACCTCTTTCCATTCGATTTTCAAGTATTGATTCATTCTTTTCAGCGCAGATCAGGTACGCTTCGACTGGCAGTTCCTCCTCGAAAAGTCGTATATTGGCGCTGAATTTTGTTGGCATCAGCTCCTTCATAGACCATTCTTCACTCTGATCAGATACAAGAACATTAGGTGTGTAGTTAGAAATGTTAGGCAGAAAGTGGCTAAGGTAGCAGGCAGCATGTCCTAACAGCTCTGTCGCACGATGTGGACAAAAATAAAAGCAGCTCAGGTAATGTTACAAATGTTCGTAACAAGATAGAATTCAAACTAACTTGACTAATGATAACTAACTGTAAACATGTAATGATAACAGTAAAATGAATAAACACAAGATTTATTCACGAAACCATATATTTTATCTAAGAAAAATGAGAGGAGACGACACAAATTGCCTTTATTGTCCGTCAACATAACATTGCTGTCGTTTAAATTTCTTGTTAGGCTTGCGTATCTGAAAAACTGATATGTCTCACCCTTCTCATAGCGTCCTGGTAAGACATGGAGGTGACACCCGAAAATATCTCTCCGAAAAACATAATGCTTTTATTATACGTATCTTGGCTAAGTATGTCCCGGTCAGATACGACTGTCAGTATGGCATCCGATAAAACCTGTTTGAGAACGTTCTTCATTTTGATGAATGTAGTGCATTCCACATCAAACCCAAGATCTGAAAAAATCTTCGAAGTACAGGCGGTAAGAAGTGCTTAAAATATCCGGGACAAACAGGTTTTTTCTCGATGTGAGTTTAACGACACTTAGGTTTAGTAAGTCTTTTATCACGCTTTTAGTGAGTGTCTGCTGGTATAATAAGTTTGTCGCAAAACAAAATATACAAAGACAATTTATTCGACTAATTTAAATACTGTGTCAAATGAATAAACGTACCATAAGTTCTATATCAGAGTAGCCAGAAGCCTCCTCGCTGTGGCGATTAATAATATCCGCTGCGGTCATCAATCCGCTCAAAAGATTTGAAAACTGTTCATTCTCAGGACGTAGGTTGAGTTTTTCTTTTAGCGAAGTCACCTGCAACATATATATTTACTTCCATATTTGGTAGTCTGGTAGTAATAACCACAGACTCAGGTAAACTTTATCAAAACCATCGTATTGTATACAGAACAAAATATATGCCTATGAATTGTAGTAAATTTCATATGATACTGAAGCTTGATACCTACCACCGGAACACTAAGAAAGGCTTCTCATTGAATATATTACACTGATCGGAAGGCAATTTCGGCAACCTTTAATTCTTGCACCTTTAATATAGTAATTTTGTTTGTAGCGTGGCATGCTTCGTCTTTACACTGTTGCGTTTGTTGCATTTTTAATTTTAATTTAACTTGTAGTATTTTTCTGCGAAGTCAAATCGTCTGACTGAAAAACTGCACATCCGCTACCATCTTTTTCGCCGCTTTTTATCTAGTAATCACTTAGTTGAGAAAACGATATAATATGACCTTAGGCCTTGTCATTTTCTATATATTTACATGAGTATCTGGCAGAGTTTGCCGAATTGGTTTTGGTATTTTATATCGGCTTTGGAATTAAAATTATGCTTAAATCATAAAATAAGGCGACAAAAAGTGAATGGCAAATTTGTAGACTCCGTCGAAAGGCAAGTCGGTCCGGTCACTGTATGAAGTCTCTGCGGTAGCAAGCGAAACGATTTTTACATAAGATCAGTATAGTGAACGCAAAGCTTCTAAAGCAGCATTCAATCGAAAAAAGCTAAGTCACGCCTCGGATAAGCCTCAATATAAACAGCACATAGGGTTCGGTCCAAGCTAAAAAGAGTATTTCACTATTGTATACGTTCTCTATTGTAATCGAGAAAGTGATATGACCAGCGCAGATTGCGCTTCTACTAACTTTATTAAGTTTAGTCAAACATTTGATCATATAAAGATAAGAAATCGAAAATTTTATTAGACTCGGTTTTTGACACAAACCGTTCCGTCGAATTACAGCACACAACTTGATTATGCATAATTATGGGCAATTATGCACAAAAAAGGTTCTACCAGAAGTTAGTTTTCTAACACTAAGTTAAGACTAACTTAATGGAATTGACGGTTTGGACAAGTTCCTATTGAGCCGAGGGTCATCTCGCCAAAGTCGTCAAAACGGCAAACATAACCCTCTCATAAGTCAAACTATTTAATGAGTCATAGCTGTCTTAAGTCTTCCTAGTCACGTCTCTTTTCTGGCGCTTTTACAGCTTTTGAGGTAACTGTTTTACTCCTTGAGGGTATCGAACTCATACAACTATCAGCTCGGAACCGATATTATACCTTTGCCGGGTTGATAACGCCTCCATCTATAAGTTCAACGCAATGATGGTTAATTTTCTTTTCTTGGTTGCTATTGCTGAGATTTTTTGTTTCCGAATCGCAACATGTCATCACGACGCAATCATGCTGAAAATTCTAATAATACACGTAGGCAAGAACTAGCGTTAGACCTACGAATAATTTACTTGAACGAGTGACTGATGGTATGAAATTTCGCGGGTTAATTCTTATAAGCAATCGCTATTCCATGTAGGTGTTAATTATTCGGCTCAACAATGATGGCCCATGTATGAATGATAATTTCCAGCTTGCCTAGTAAAACTTCAATTATGAAATTCAGCTCAGTTAAAAAGCGTACCTTATCAAATTTCATTCGCATGAAGGCATCAGCCAGCTTTCTTTTAACAATGTACCCAACAAATGTTTCGAGGTTATCGTTAGTACTTGGCGAACGGTCGATAAGAAATGCAAACATTCGGCCGAGCTGCTTACGCCCCGCGCGAACCGACGCTTCAACGACTTTAAAGGCCTGGGGAGTTCGTTTGCCGATTGGCGTTTCAGCTTTCTATAATTCAAAAGTGAAGTTAAAAAAAAAAACAAGAATATTATTGTGATCCTGGATTACAGTTTGTAATAAAACTAATCGTACTATATGATGCATCAAATATATAAAACATATGGCTGTCTTCAAACTAATAGGAAATCTTTTAGAAAGTGAGAGAACTCGCCAAATGGAATTTTCACAATGAGACTATGGTTTCCCTGGATTTCATTCTAGCAGTAGACAATGAAACTACTTTGATAATTACATGAAATTGGTAACGACGGCTGCGTGCAACCAGGATTCGGGTAGACCCGAAACACGCCTAAAAAACTAAAATCCAGGACAACCACAGTTTCGATCCACCGTCTGAAACTACGCGTCACCAGATCTATTAGATTTGCTTTTCGTTATAATTCTAATAATAATTTGCAATGATGATAAATTGTATCGCAACATGATGCCCAATATAATTTTTTAATTTTTGGCGATGCCAACTCTTTACCAACATCTTCAACTGAACTAGGTAGTTAAGTTTATAGCAAGCACACAAAATAAAACAGTTTATGATTATCGGTATGATTTTCTATTTATTTTTATTAAGAGTATAATGTTTGTCTGGTATTGGCTGAAGTAATCCCTGCAGAAAAATATATATTTACCATGCATTTGAAATGATTTCAGTCGAATCTACATTTAAAGGCGAAATATTAAAATAACACTTTTTTTTCTCTTATTGACAATCTAAAGTTTTTAACATTTTTAATCAATAATTTATTTGACTATTGCTCGACTATACTGCTTACATTGAGCGCAGGATACATAAAATGTAATAGGAGAGAGCAGATGGTATTTTGTAATTCTGTCCGATGACGAGCTAATGCTCACCTCACCAAAGAAAATAAATGAACCTCCTACGTCAGCGTCGATATCAAATGGTACAACCTCCATCGCTGTCGACTTATTGCCATCCTGCTCATCGTCTTCATCATTTGAAACAGCTGCCTTTTTTGGGAAGCGTTGCGATGGATCTCGAGGTGTTGAACCTACTTTGGAAGGACTTACGGTGCTTGAAGACGCCTGCAGTTCTACCTCTTCTTCCGAATCCGAGATTTCGTGTGCGCGCTTTTTAGGCATTTTGACTCAGAAACAGCCTGCAACCAGTAGAATACAGAATAATTCTTAATTGTATTGCAGCATAAAAAACGATGGGATAGAAACGTGCTTTTCAACTATATTTGACCGCAGATGAGTGCTTGTATCACGCGCACAATAATGCTCAATGAATAATCATGATGAACTTAATAAATACTTTACATGCTAATTTTTGTTATTTAAATATGTTAAGTGTCATATATTCACACGTTTGGATAGCCAAATAGTGGAATAAATCAATTTACATGTATAGTGAAAATAGTATGTAATATATAACTTTTTTTTTACTTGACCTAAACTATTTGACGGATTGGCTAGTATGCATAAATGTTCCTAATAATTTTCTGATTATAGTTGCCAAATAAATGTATATCAGTGCATGAGAAGGATACGTTTCGGCTACACGTCGCGAGAGGCAAATGAAAACTCGTAATAAATGAAGAATCGATTGCTCGAATGCTTTTGTTGTCAATATACTGATAACTGGGCGTATTCGAACACAAGCCAGTGGTACCAACATTTATTTCAAATAATATACAAAGTAGAAGGTTCTAAGAATTTATATTCAAACATAATTGGTTTACGGTAGGAAATTATATAAACTCCAGATGCAGTTTCACGCTTAAATTACGCTTAAAGTACTTCTTCATACAATCGATAGATTATATGGGCTTCTTACTGATACTATGTACTAAAGGTTTCGAGTCCGGTATCGGACTTTTAGAATGAAACAAAGTGGGTCTATGCCTCGATTCGAATTTAGACTACCATGTACTCCTAAGTTCTGGAGGCAAATACGTTTTCCACTGAGCTATCACAAAGAAAGATACATATTGGCGGGCGCATCCCACTACGCTTGTCATTGATAGACATTTTTTAAATTCTTCAATTAAGCCAATATTTTCTTTATATTCTGTTTATGTAACCACCAAATATCGCTACCGTTAGTAGATTCGCCCTCCTTGTACTTCGTTGATCGACAACTTTATTCTTATATTGTCATAGCACAAGTCACAGACATTCCTATGCACTCCCTTGGACAAAACCATTCTGCGCTCCCTTCTACACCCATTCAAATTTCCCGCCTTCCTTCCAAAATACTAGCAGCTTCCTAAACAGCATAGACGTTTAGCTAGTATTTACTCCTTTTTACTTCGTTTTTGTACTAGACAACCAGATTGTTACTATTAGGTACTTGCATCCCTAACAAAACTTCGGCTGTTCCCATCGATCACGAAACTTAAAATAAAGTTTGGACTTTATTGTTTTCGAGGCGTCCGTAGAGGGCGCTATGATCGCCCACCTGGCGACTCGGCGCGTTTCGCCGCTCCTCGCTATGTTAGTTGACCATGGTGCGCTGGGCGCTAGTGGGGCTAGTGCTCCTGCACGTTTCGCTGGCAGCTCGCTGCTTTTAAAAATTTACTCTCCCTCCCTCTCTCTCCCTCTCTTCAATACGGTAGTGGCGGCGGCAACAACAGCAAAAGCAGGCGGTAGCTACCACAACGGGCTGATCACAACAGACAGAACGCAACGTCGACCGTCCCGCGGTGTCGCGTTCGCTAGTATCGAGCGAACAGCCGCTACGGTGCACCCGACGGATGCCACTGCCGGGAATAGAAATACATCGTATACATAGAGCTAAAGAGAAAAAGAAAGTGCTTGTCTCAGCAGCAGCGATGGCGGCAGTCGCATTCGGTGCTCTCCGCGTGTACGCGAACGTGCTGTACGTAGCGTGACGAGCTGAGGTGTGTGGCTGAGCTTCGTTCATCGTTTAGAGTAGTAGAAGTTGGCAGATACCTGCTGCTTCGTGATTTGTTCGCTGATCTTTCCAGTTTTGAATACCGCAGTTATTTCTACTTTTGCTGCTATTACCTCTACTAGCACTATTGTAACTGTTGTGCTGTCGAAGCCCGGCAGTTTGTGCTCAGGTCGGATACCGTTGAGTGTTCCTCTGCAGCGGTATAACAACAGCAGTAGTTCTAATATTTGAAATAGAAGTAGCATCACATTAACAAACAAAGTACTAACAGAAGTTATTCGCAAGAGAGTTTTTGTTATTATCATCGCTGTCGTCGTCGTCGTCGTCGTCGTCGTCGTCGTCGTCGTCGTCGTCGTCGTTGTTGTTTTTCTGTCCCTGAAAGTGGGATGGATCGCGGCCTCAAGTCGTCAAGGTTGTTGCATCTGACGCACGTTGTGGATAAGGTTCTATCATTGTCTGACTGACTACCGCTCCTGTTTTTCCCTTTTCATCGTTCTCGTTAGAAGTGGTTCATTGATGCATTGTCGCCAAATTGCGCTGGGAGCTGCAACTGGTAGAAAAATAGAAGCCTTGCAATGATAACATTTTCACTACCGTAGGTTAGTACGGTCGTCATAGGAGAAGAGAACTATCAGCACAACTTGTTGTTTAAATTGCGCTGTCCATTAACTCCGTCGGATATACACTAATTGATCATTCCATAAAAATAGCCCTGCCTTAACGCTATGGAATAGCCACAAGGACTTGTAAAATCGTAACGGCCTTGACGGCTTCTTCAATGTGCTTTATACCTCTACTGGAATACGTGATTAGCTCTTAGACGGACGGCCTATTTCAAGAAAGAAAGTAGTCGAAGACACCCTCGCTGTAAATGGATCTAAGAGAACAGAAGCGAACGGTTGCCGAACAGAAGTTTTCAGATTAGAGAACGCCACTAGTGTTAAAGCAGAAGTTCGTTCGGACAGTCTGGGTAGTCTGCTGGCTGCCATAGGCCCCAATATCAGTTGGCATCAAATGCGGAAACGAAACCCGAATACTGACGTCTTAATTTTCGGTTGCACTGAAAAAGCAACTGAAGTTGTTGGTCGATAAGCGAAGTTATGTTTTACTTCGTCTGGTTTTATTATGCGTCTGTCTGGCAGCCTTTCGGCGTCCATCGTCATGTTGTTCGTTAATTTACTGAAAAACGAAGTGCGGTGCCAGTTGATGTGAATATATTCTTGTGCTTGCATCCGACCTGGGTGGTCACACAGTTACGACTAGCTAGTTGGAATAATTGAGTCGTTGGTGTCTGTGGAGTCCGTGGGATTGTCCTGTGCTGTGTGCGAAATCTTTTCTGTTTATTGCTTCGATCTTGTTGGCGTGCGTGTTATCTGATGATGATTGTGTGTGTTCTATGAAATGTTGTAACGAAGTCTGAACAGGAATGCCGTCGTTTGCTGTGTTCGATGACGACTTTCAAAAGACTGACGAAGTGACGAGGTGCAAGGATAGTGCCGCTACGAGACAATCTTTCCCATTCCGTCGATCGGAACCACTGTGAGGATGAGTTCGATGAAAGTGACGGTCAATTTTGGTGCGGTCCGAGTAATCGTACCGTGCGGAGTCGGCGATATACCCGTTCGGGAGGTGCTCGAACTTGCCGTTGTCCGTTACAAGAAAGCAACCAACAAGGTGGGTACAAGACATAAAGTGGGTTTGGAATAATACTACGTGCCAGGTCACCAAATAATTCGCACTATCTTACAATCAGCGATACGGGCCATGTTCGCGATGGGCGTAAAATAAGCAGCGAAGCTGAAGTTATACTCAGTTTTACCTCCAACGCTTAAATGTTCGCGATGCTATGGCAGACAAGTTTCATCGAACGTTTTTCAAGTTGACAGTAAGATTTGTGAAATGATTCTGGTATCGTTGCATTATCGCTACCCGGCTGATAAATCGCTACCAATCTTCTAGCAATATTTATTGCCGATAAGTGTTTTCTTACTACGAATAAAAAGAACGTTCTGTGCTGGGCGCAGGAGAGGCAGCAACCTGTTGAGGAGTTGCCTTGATTCTCGGTAAGATCCGTTGAATGTTCTTGCTTATCTGCATGTTTGTGAATGCTTCTATCAATGCTTCAATATCAGTTATTAGCAGCTGGTAAGACGAGTAAAGCTTGCCGCGTTTGGAATGTTCATCAATAGCAAATATCCTTGGCCATGTACTGGCAGACAGGCACAGGTGTATAAATCCTTGGAGGAAATCTTTCATTTTAACCTATGTTTGGTTTCATGTGTGCAAATCATAGCTGTCTATGATCTCGATAACGTTTCCGTGTTACTAAGGTTGTCGCTTAAGTCTACAACGAACCTAATTTTCAACGAAAGTTCGTAGGTAGCTACACAACATTATATATTGATTCTAATTAGATATGATGTTTTCGGACTGCTTTTCAATTCTGTATTTTCCAAAATATAATTTTTTCTTTCGAAATTTATTTCTTTTACACCAAATTCTTTCAAAGGAGTTCTGTGGGGAGCGGAGAAAGTCATTGAAGAAACCGAAGACTATCAAATGGGTTAGGGAGAGTCTCGACCCTCCCTAATCCATTGATTGCCGGCTGTAGCCACAATGAAATATCACTCTTCTGTTGTAATTAGGCGCTTGTCTTGAATGCCTTGCTTTAAAGAGTTGAACAGCTTAATTTTTTTAATGTGTATTTTTTTATTTTATTTATACCTTAACATGGCATTTCTTTAAGCTAATGCGTTGTTTGAGAGAGCCTCTTAGAAAAGCACTTCCCTGCGAAATGTGCAGCCTCATTGGCTAGTGTGGTTTTAGCTTGGGGGTTTTGAGGGGTGCTACTACATGGATTTTGACCTACTTTCAATAACATTACTGTAGAGTATTCACTTTTCATCATTCGTCATTATTTTGGCACGACAAAAAAATTATCCTCAGCTAATTTTAAAGGGTGACCGAAAATGGTGCATGGCTCTCCAATTAGTGATTGGCCCAGTCGTGAAGCATGAGCTTAATTCAGTCGTTGTTTAGTAGGTGTTCTCGAACCGTTGAATTAAAGTATTAGGAGGTTTCGTTTGAAGGCCAAGTTCGACAAGCCTTGAATAATAAAGCCCGAAGCCACTGTTTTCTTTTTTAACGTATTAACCAAAAAATATTCCATATCCAGCTCTTTTCGAGCTACCCTTACAAGTTCTGGTGATGATGGTCGAACTAGAAGACGACAAGTTTGCCTCTGTGTCGACCCCTTCATTTTCTGTCGGGTTCCCCCTCCGTCGCTGCGTCGTTGTTACCGTCGACAGTAGCACAACATATTAGCAAGTGCATCACCTTGTTGTTTGTATCTGCTCCTGCTGTTGGCGGCAGTAATTCCAGAGCGGAAAACAATTCGTTGGTTTGGCTTATGAAAAACCACGACGAGAGTTACATACAGCAAATGCCGTACCACATAATCCTGTGCTAAAAGAAGGAAGCGAATGATTCGAACATCGGCGGCATAAAAACTCCTTTGTGTACTGCTGCTGTGCGCGTGAAATAGTATGTTATTTCAATGTTATATCTACCGAAGCCCAGGATATGACAGGAAAAACTACTTTACTGCGAAAGGAAAAAGAAGCCTTCCCAGCAAAATGTTCCCAGTGAAACAGTAACGGTGGCCAAAAGGTATGTGCACACCGGTGGTTTCTAGTTATCGTTTATAGTTAATGCAGTCAATATATGAGCGCGTGTTTGTGTGCCTATTCATGTAATATCATGCAGCTGGTTTTTGCACAGAATGGCGTCATGTTTAGCTTTGCGTCTGTCGAACGCTCCACAGCAATAACAATAATAATAATAGCGGCGTCAGCGGCGGTTATCCGTTGCCGCCACTGTCGTCGTCATCGTCGTTGTTGCAGCAGAAGCTCACATCGTGTCTCGTGTTGCTGTGCCGGTCGCGTGCTGGTCAACAACAGTAGGCTGTCTTGCTGCGCCGTTGAAAAATGAATAAAAACGATGTCCAGTTCTGTCGTCTGCTGTCCTAATCAACAAGTGACTGCTGGCTACTGTTTTGCGGTAATAAGATGTCAGTATCAAAACAACGGTAGCAATTGTCAAAGTAGAACGCGACACGGATGATTTCGGGTTATTGAAGATGTTGAATTCTGCAATGGACGAGCACAACAGCATTGACACAACTTTTGCTACTGCCAGCACCATTACTGCAATCTGCGCCTACGGCGTTGAGTACAAAGCACTGTGTCGGTGATAGCGACTCCCGTTTTGAACATTTTCATT